CTCCCTCAGTACTGACCCTCTGACAGTGCGGCACTCCCTCAGTACTGATCCTCTGATAGCGCAGCACTCCCTCAGTACTGACCCTCTGACAGTGAGGCACTTCCTCAGTACTGACCCTCTGACAGTGCGACACTCCCTCAGTACTGACTCTCTGACAGTGCGGCACTCCCTCAATACTGACCCTCTGGCAGTGCTGCACTCCCTCAGTACTGACTCTCACACTGAGCTCAGTTTAGTTGTTATCATTTGGGAGTTACAATGTTTGACATCACCAAAGTGTCACCTAGAGCATTCGAAATGATTCTGAAGTATTCACTGTTGCCCTTTAAGCAAGGGAGTTGGCCATCCTTACCAGGTCTGGCCTACATGAGACTCCAGACCCATGGCAATGTGACTAATTTTTATCTGCCCTTTGAAATGGCCCCGTAAACCACCCAGTGCAAGAGGCAGTTAGGGATCGACAATAAATGTTGGCCCAGCTGGTATCACCCACATCTCACAAATTAATGGAAAAAAAGAATGGAAGAACAAAAGGCGGCTTTCCTCATCAGGTCACTTTCACACAATGTCAGACTGACAGCCCACATCCTGTGCCTTGTTTCCCTTCCTCTGAGTTCGAAGGAATGAAGAGATCGCAACAGCAGCTGTCAGTTGAGGAACTGGATGGAGTTGCACAAAGAGGAAAGATGTGGAGGCTTTGGGGAGGGTGCAGAAGAGGTTTACCAGGATGCTGCCTGGGTTAGAGGGTATGAGCTGTAAGGAGAGGCTCGAAAAACCAGGTTGTTTTCTGTGGAGTGGCAGAGGCTGAAGCGAGACTTGATAGAAGTCTATAAAATTATGAGATGCATAGATAGGGTTGACGGTCAGAATCTTTTTCCCAGAGTTCAAATGTCTAATGCTAGGGGGAGTGCATTTAAGATAAAAGGGGGAAAGTTCAAAGGAGATGTGAGGGGCAAGTTTTTTACACAGAAAGTGGTAAGAATCTGGAACATTCTGCTTGAGGTGGTGGGGAGGCAGATAAATAGGGGTATTTAAGGGGCTCTTAGATAAGCACATGAATATGCAAAGAATGGAGGGATATGCTCAGAACAACACTGTGGGCTGAAGGTCCCATTCCTGTGCTGTACAGTCCGATGTTCTGCGTTCTATTGTAACTGATTGACTTGGCGTAACTTCAAATGGCAACACATACATTTTGGAAGGCAGAATGAAGAGAGGTGACATAATCTAATTTTGAAGTG